TTCAACCAATGTGGAATTTAATGTATGACTGGCTTAAGGTAGAGGACCTGGCCATATTTTATCCAGTACAAAGAAAATGTGCTATGTATAAGTCTTCTCCCACCTGAACTTAAATGTCATCTGCAATCAAAACCAATTATGACACAGGTATCAATCTCTTTATGTATTTGTACTGCCAAGTCAGTTTGCATAATTACATGTTATATTTCTACCAATGCTGCCTCATAACTTTAGAATGTATATGCTCTCTAGCAAAGAAAATCTCTTCATCTTGTTCTTTCTCAGCATTAGTTAAGTGATTCTTGTAAATCTCTCTCTATAAAATTTGAGAAACATCTTGAACCACATAAAAATTATTATTCTTTAGTTAGTAAATTTTAGTGTTAATTATTTTTATGATATTTAATAATACCACTCAATATTTATTTATATTTTATTATCACCTAAAGTAAATTTTGTAGTTTTTTTCACAATGCATATTTTCCATTATATTATGTTTTACTTTTATTCTAAATGGCATCCTTTATCCTGACACATATTCTACTTGCTTTATCAAAGATTACAAAGTCTATTTTTCAAATTTCTTTCTTTAGATGGCAACTTCAGTATGCTGCTGCTCAGATGGTTTCAAACTCGTGACCTTCAGTATGTAATTTTTAAAAACAAAAAAAATAAAATAAAATACCACTTAATAACTTTGTGTGCTTTTTTTGTCTTGTTGGAGGTTTTTGTTTATTTTGAATTTTTTGGGGGGGATGATGGCGCCCATAGACTCATGTGTTTAAATGTTTGGCCCATAGGAAGTGGCACTATTAGAAGGTGTGGCCTTTTTGGAGAAAATGTGTCATTGTGAGGGAGGACTTACAGATCTTCTCTGCTCAAGCTAAGCCCAGTGTGGCACACAGTCACTTTTGCTACCTGCAGATCAAGATATGGAAGACTCAGCTCCTTTTCCAATACCATGTCTGACTATATACAGCCATGACAGTAATGGACTAAACCTCTGAAACTGTAAGCCAGCCCCAATTAGATGTTTTCCTTCATAAGAGTTGCTGGGATTATTGTGTCTCTTCACAACAATGAAAATTCTAACTAAGACAGTGGCAGGGGAGAGGGTTGTTGGTTTGTTGTTTGTTTTTTAAGAGAGAAAGAAAGAATGTGAAGTTGGGTGGGTAAGGAAGTGTGGAGAATCTGAGAGGAGTTGGGGGAGGGGAAAGAGTAGGATCAAAATATACCGTACAAAAAGTTTTTAAACAAGAAAAGTAAAGCAAACAAAACTGCATAATGATGAGAAAACACCATTCTCAGCTCACCAGAGAGACCTGTTTGCTTTAAACTATTCTAGTCGTTTTCTCCATGTGCATTAACACTGCCGCTGCCTCTAGACCTCCTCTCCCCGCAGCCTGCTCACCTCACTGCTCATGCTTCCTTTGTGAGTCATGATGGTGCTGCCGTAATCTAGGATCTAAATCTCTATCTTATTCATTCAGTAAACAGAATCCTCAACCTAATAGTTATGAGGTCAGTATGACCATCACATTTTAGGCTTCCTTTCCCCTCTGTCTTGCAACTGTTAACTGTACTGGTATATTGTCAAGGGTGGTTGTAATGATTCAGACACACAACATGGCTGACACTTCTGGGTTCCAGGGCCACGCATGTGTGGACAAGCCCCCAGGCAAAAGTGCCTAATGGCCCCAGGAATCTTAAAGGACCCCACGTGACCCACGTGCAGCATGGTCACATCATCTACATATGATGCAGCTGTGGGAGCCCTTGCACGCATGCGTGGGCTCCGTCATCTGTGTATGACATGGCCTTGCCATTCCCCTGTGCGCATGAACTAGGCAGCCCTTAAAAGCTGAACGCGCCATCTTCAGCCCTCTCTCTGCACACTGACTTTCCCAGGCCTGTGCACACCCCCTCTAATAAACATCTAAGTAGGTTTGTTGCGTGTTCCGTGTTTCCTTCTCACCTGCGCCTAGTAATTTCGGTGGTGATATTTATATCTTATTCAGTAATTATATTAATTCTCCCCTGTTTTGCCTAACGGTTGACTGTAAAAACTGAAAACCAGTATTTACATTGTATGACTAACATTTAAATGCTGTTCATTGACTAGCAAAGTTTTGTGCTATGATTTGGAGGCCCAAAAATATAAGCCTATTTCCAAGTTGACCAAAGATGAGAGAGTTGGAAGTTACCTCTATTCCTTCAAGGTTATTGTGTTCTGCTCTTTCAAGGTTATTGTCAACAGGTGTAGCTAATAGTCAGACCTTGTGCTTCAGGAATAGAGGAGTAGGTAAGTTTCTACCTCAAACAAAAGTCTAAGGATCTGACTAAGAGTCCAGTTCCTTGAAGGAGATAGCATTGAATTCCACCTAGGGAGTGGTTGGCCTACAAAATGTTTTGGTCTTGTTTAGTTCTAACAACAGAATGTTTAACTATGGCCATAGCCCACGTTCATTTCCTTGTATCATGTTAATGAGGTCTTTTGTCTTGCTCCTACCTTTTGGGGTCAGGGGTTTTTAAGCAATTGGAAATTAAATGTGGGCGATGTCAGTGTTCACTGGACTCCCTCCTGGCACAAGTCTGTATGTTTGGCTCTCTTATTATTTTTCTGTCTCTGTATTCTTTATTAATATTTCTAGATCCCAATGCCCCTACCCTGGCAAGAAGTATTTTTGTTGAGGCTGGTCCCTGACACTAGGATTAGATTTTTCTCATCTATCCATCAAGTTTTGATTCATGTGACAATGTAGAATCATTTTTCTCACACTCTCAGCAACTGTTGAAAATCATGCCTACCTGAGGTGCTGTTTTGTCACGGGGACAGAAGAAGGGTAAGTTTTTCTGTATACCATCCTGTTAATCTCTTCCAGCTTTCCCTCACTCTACCCCTTTACATTCATTTCCTTCACTGGAGCTCGACTCAGGAAAAACGGTCTGCCTCTTCTTCAACTCATCTTGAAAGTTCTAGTTGCATTTTTCATCTTTTAAAAAATATGTATTAATTTTGTATGTGTGTGCATGTTTGTGTGTACATGTCCGTGTGTGTGTGCATGCGCACACATGTGTATGCGTGTGTGTGCATGCACATGCGTACACAAATGTATGTGTGCCTGCACATGTACCATATGTGTGCAAGTGTCCATGGCAAGCAGAAACGTGTATTGGATGCTCTGAAACTGGAGTTACAGGCAGTTGCAAGTTGTCTGACATGGGTGCTGGGGACACAATGCAGGTCCGTCCTCTGCGGGAGCTGAAAGCATTCTCAACTGCTGAGCCATCTCTGCAGGCTCTCCTTCTTTCTTTTAACACATCCTGTCCTAGTTTTTTCAAATATTTGTAAAGTGAGCATTAATTTTATGAATGTAACAGTTTCTTAAACATTTCTGAAATTTTTAACACTTTGAGGTTCTATTCCTTGAAATATGTATCCTCAAGAATCACCTTACATTTTATCATATTTGGTTTTGCTGGTGATATTTAAGACTTCAAGTAATTGAATTTTAGCTAGACAGGTTTGGAGACAGTTCTCTTCATGTTGATCCAAGCAGATGAGACACTGATTGGGCCAAGCCCCACATGATATACCAAATAATGTCTCTAAATATAAATAGCAACATTCAGGCAGGAGTTGAACATCAAACTCAGCATTAGACACTAAGCCAAGTGGAAGAAGGCAAAAGTACACTCATACCCTTGAAGAACACTCTGTTCTTGACCTCCCTTCTAGAGAGGCAGGTCCAAGCTTCAGAATCACCAGCCTAAGGAACGGTGCCACCCACAGTGAGTGAACATACCTATTCTAACTAAAATAATCACCTTAATACCCCACAGAAATGTCTACTGGTCAGCCAGACCCAGCTAATACTCATTAAGAGTTTATATCCAGATGATTGTAGATTGTTTCAAGATAACAATTAAAACTAACAAATACAGTGTTCAGTCAATAAGTGAAAAAGAGATACACACTATACATAAGTACAAACACTCAAATACACCCAGGTTGCTATACATGGTAACAGCCATGGCTATGTCTGTGTCCTCTGGGAGCCAGCCTAGCCCCTGCTCACTAACTGGGAACAAAGGTGACCACTAGCTGCAGACCTGCCTGCCACTCACTTGCTAGAGGCACGTCTCCTGAAAATAAAACGACAACTCAATCCTCCAGACCATATGCATATATAGGAATCTATACACATACATATATAGTTACACACACACACACACACACACACACACACACACACACATTATTTACACCTTTCTGATTTATGACGACCACATCTATATAATATAGGCTGCCAAAAGTAATTCCAATGGGGCAATGAGGATGACGAGTCCAATATAAAATAATTTAATAAATTCCTAAAACTCCTATAATCTCAATTTGTTTTTTACCAGAAGGAAAATACTTCTGAATAAGAACCTCCAAGAGACCGAGAAAACTGACTGAGCCCACACATACAGTCAGTTACATAGAGTAAGGTGTAGTATTCCAATCTGCTCTTTCTTTGTTCAGAAAAAATACACCTTCTCTGAGATCTGGGACGAAGAAATCTGGGGCCCATCACAGCACTTGTGGAAGCCAGTGGTCTTCCACACACAACATCTGGCCTTTCCCGGTCACTCTTCACTCTCCCTGTCACCATCCTCACAGTCCTGGCTCCAAAATCTACAGAACCGTCCAGATCTGACATGGAAGGCCCCAAGTCTAACTAAAAAGCTGACATCTTCAGAAGGAAGGTGGAGTAAGCAGGTCATCTTTCTACAAAACCACGACAGTGCTCAGGTCTCCATCTCCTCCTCAGCCACTCAGAGGTATACAACATTTGGCTCAATGTTAGCAAAAGTAACAGTAGAAGACTTCAGTTTGGCATAGTTTACTACACACAAAAAGACAATTTTTATACATAAATTAATCTAGCTCATTGGCATCAAACTCAAGTGAAATCTTTTTCCTTCGAGCTAATAAAAACGTATTTAAGACTTACTTAAATGGTGTAAACAAAAATGGCAAAGTAACTTCTTTTTTCTGAGTCATCTTCACCTGGGAACCAAGCATGAAAATAATATATTATAAATGGGAAAAAATAATGAATTTCATTCTGAAATATAAATATCAATCAAAATGGCCCTTCAGGGATGATTAATTTCTTTGGAAATAAGTGGGATTTTGTGTTATTATATTATAGTTTCATAAATATTTACATAAAAATTAAATAATACTTTAGTATCTCAGTAAGCTGAGAATTAAGTACATCAATCTTGCAAAAATGTAATTACAATGACTTTTCCTTGACTGTTTGAGAACGAAGTAAGGCAAAGTTACATTAGAGAATCGTGTCTAATGTAACTTTGGATCTCTAGTCTACTTCTTTTGGGCATATTCCAATAAATGAGGCCTGGACTTGTAGTCTTTACAAGGATATATGACAATCTAATATGACACTCAAAGGCAATTCTATGCCCTCTAACTCACCCATGAAACCTGTACTTTAGAAATAAAAACTTCATTGTTAGGTTTCAAACCCAGGACAATGGCGGAGGTGCCTATTTAACATATTTAAGTAGACCATGCCTCCAGGTTCTCCTAGCATCCCTGAGTTCTTACCAGTTATAGGGCATGGCTCGTATACTCCACCCTCTAAGTTGAACTCTCCAGCCCAGGGGCTGGGCTGCCCTTCTCCCAGAGGCTCTCCCCTATGTAATCCAGACATTCTGGTTACCTGCCCCTTTGGTACCTTTGCCCTCTTGGCTGTGGCACCTGGTTCCTTTCTCTTCCTCCCCCCCCACCACAAGGCTAAGGGTCACGTCTACTCTGGACTCTCCTAGATGCCTCTGGATATACTCTCCCACACATCTACAATAAACCTCCTCCTCCACCAGACCTAGGAGCAGTCATGGCCTTCCTTTCCTTTTTCCTTTTTTCACTCACTTATGACACAGGCAAATATCCAAAAACCAAGAACCTAAGTTATAGAAAATTATTAATTAAAATATAAAATCAAATATTTTACTATAAATATTTTAGAATTTATAGTATAGTTCATTTGTTTATTGTTTTCACCTTGAACTGTTCAAGAATCTGTACTGCATTGGTAAGCATGCTCTCTGCTTTGAAGAGACCAGTGTTGTTAAGATAATCCACAGGAAGTGTCCCCTACAAAATAAAACATAACAAGTACTGATAAAGACTGTGTTCTGACTGTAAAACAAGTACAGCCTGTAAACGCAGCACTTTGGAGGCCAAGGTGCTGATGGCAAGTTCCTGGCCAGCCTGAGCGGGAGAGAGATTCTGTTTCAATAGAAAAACAAAAGTTAGATGCCGCAGAAATTGAGAGCACTTGCTGTGGGCTGGAGAGATGCTCAGTGGGCAGTGGTTAGAGCACCGGCTGCTCTTCCAAAGGACCTGCGCACCTGCGAGCTCTATTCCCATCACCCACATGGTGGCTCATCATGGCTTGTGATCACTTTTAATTCCAGTTTCAGGAACTCTGACACCCTCTTCTGCTTTCTGAGAGCACCAAGACCTAATGTGGTAAAACAATACCCAAGCAAGTACTAACCCACACATGCAAAGCATTAAAATAAAAAAAAAAACACCAACAAAAACGAGTGCATGACGATAGTGGTTAGGGGCATTTGCTACTCCTTCACTGGACGAAGACTCAGTTTCCAGCACCTGTGTTGAGTAGCTTACATACCTGAACAAGTGAACACAGACAGGGCAAGCATACACACAACACATGCTCACACACGCAACCAAAATAATTTAAAAAGAAACAAAAAAGACACATATAAATTTCTGAATTAAATGACAAAATATTTAAAAATATAACTGAAGAAAATTTCTCACATTCAAAAATAATGAATTAAATAAACAGATGAGATTGGTTAAAGTCAACTCAAATCTAACATTGGCAGACTACTGCTATGACTTGTACTCCAAATGCTCCCTAAGGAGCCTGGTGCTACAGGAAGATGACAGACCCATGAAGAGGTGAGACCTAATGAGAAGTGACAGAAACTTTGGGGTGGCCATTGGGTCACTAGGGACACACCCTCTTAAAGTATCTTGGATTTTTTTACATCTTTGTCACAAGGCAAGCAGTTTTGGTTTTGGTCTACCACATACTCCTGCACAATGTCACCGCAGATTGAAACCTTTAATGCTGTGAACCAAAATTAAATTGTTTTTTCCAATTAAGCTGATTATCTAGGAAATTTTTTATAGCAATGAAAAGTTGACTAAATAATCTATGTTGGGCATACTGCTATATGCTCAGTGAATTGAGTATGTTATACACAAAGAATAATCACTGTAATGGTCACAGCTACAATATTTTGGATATAAGGATGTAAACAGGACACATATAAAAACATACAGATAGTCTGTTCCCTACCATGCACTCACTCACTCACATACGCTTATGGCAGTCAAGAGCTTATCACTTACAGTTCTGACTTATTCCATTTTAACATAAATTTAACGTTGAAAACCAAGTAAGTATGGCTGGCTGTGAGGAGTATTTCTTAGTTTATGTTTTGGTTTTCACCATTCACACCGATTCTTAGCAACATTACTACTTCCTGCTGAGGGTCTTCTCCACTGGATGTAATATGGTCAACAGTAATCAGAGCCCTGGCCTCCTCCGTGGACCAGCCAGACAATCTAGATTCGGTTCTTGAGAGTCAGAAAGCAGCAACTACAAGTATAATTTTGTTCTACCCAAGGGTTGGTGCCTTGAGCAGTACAGCCATGCCAGGCCCTCTTGGTTCCTGATGATTTCCAAACATGATCTATGCAATCCAGCAAACCATCAATATATTTTCAATAATTTTCCCTTTAAAAATGACTCAGTTTCTATTGCTTAATCAAAAAGTTGTATATATATATATATATACACATACATATATATACACATATATATATATATTTCACTTGTTATAAGATTTTTCTAAAAACGTAGTTTTTCAAGAAATAAAGTATTTAAAAGCTTTCTTCCATGTTATATAGTTTATACTCAATTATGAGATATTACCTATTTAGATATAAATAAGCAGGAAGGAATATATTTTTAAATACAACTACGGATTATAGAGAAACACATGAAAAGTAAATTTTATTTTTATAAGGAGTATTGGTAATAAGTGTCATTCCTTACCACCGAATTAAGAGGAAAGGGAACTCCAATAAGAGACGCCATCAGCGGTGCAATGTCAGCCTAGAATGGAACAGTTCAATTCTAGAAGTCTGCATGTAGAAACCAGCAAATTGCATCCCCACATACAACTGTATTTGGATTACAACCATACTGATTACAATCAAAACATTTATATACATTATACACATCATTTATATACATTTATATACATCAGTGTCTTTAAATGCCATTTTCTAGAAATGATTGAACTTATGAAAAACTAAATCTGAAAAGTAACCATTAAAGGTCATCAATACAAAACAAAATCAAAACCTACTTGTCCTATTGGCTAAGAACTTGAACAGTTTGTGTAAGTTACTGAGTGAGCACCGCTTTGGTGGTCATAACAGAAAGGGTGGTGGTCTTTACAGGAGGACTGTGCACAAGCATGAAGGAAGTCTGGCCAGCCAGGGAAGGGAGAAGAGCCCAGTGGCACTGCGGGGACTGCTTGGACCATGATCACCCAGAGACAAGGTGATCTCGCCAAAGGGCGAGAGAACAGATTCTACTTTTCTACATTTCAGTGGCTGTGTTCTGGCAGTCCTTAAAAGTTGTCAAGTAGTAAAAATACTTAGAAGCTGGGAAAGACACCTTCAAATCCTGGCTTGTTAGCTCTGAAGACTTCGGCAGTCCTCACCAGTCAAATACCCGCTTCTCCCTTACAAAGGGATGGCACGATTAAATGAGAACAACTGCGATGAAGGCAGCTTCAGCTGCTGCTCTCCTGGCACTGGGATAAATTCTCCTCCTGGTCCCATCGACACCTGTTTGCTTCCTTCTCCTCACTGGGGCTCCTTTTTAAGTACCTTCCGCTCCTCATCTAATCTAAGAGTTTGTAAAGGCTGCTCCCAGACTTACGCCACGCCCAGAATACTGGTGACATTCAAACCCTTCCCTAAGTCTTGTCTCTCTCACTCATCTCATCTACTCATCCTGAAGCCAGAGGGATTCTTGCACGCACGTGAGCGCACATACACTCTTCAAGAGCTTCCTCCAGCTTTGGGGATTAAGTCCCCAAGGTGCATCATGCTCCCCCAGACCTGGGCCTGTGTCTGCCTGACGTCCTATGGTCCCTGTGACTCTGAACACCAGCCTCTCTAACAGTCTCCTACACTGAGCTGTGCAGGCTGGCCCTCTCCCTGGAAAGCCCTGCTGCTGTTCTGGCCTATTCCTCAATCTCAGCTCAATCCTAAATTTCCCAGGAAACCTTTGCTGAGCAGAGTTTCCCAGACATATACATCCCATGCTCTCTTGTGGACGTGGGCCTTAACTAGAGTATCTTACAGTTCTAACTCCACATTTGGTCATACAATGCTTTCAGAGCACAGGGTCTCACCTCGACAGTAACAGCCCAGGCCACAGCTGTTTGCTTTTCCTGAAAACTATCCACCTTCACACAGGCACAAGTGGCCACTACTGAACCTTATCTAACTTAAATGTACACCAGGAATATTTCTCAATAGACTGAGGATTCAGAAAGTAAAACTCTCCATTCAGTTTCTGACTAAGACCTACTTTTATTACAAATAAAAGATGTTTTTATATTAGGGTTCTCAAGAAGTTTCTGGTCCTTTGACTGACTTTTTAAATTATACGCTAGTAAGTTGGCATTTTAATGTTTTATATATATATATATATATATTTATTTTCTTGGGTATCATGTATTGATCCTAAAAGAAAAATTTGTTTTTATTAAGCTCCTAGAAATAGGTTTTCTAGGGATAAACATGAAACTGAAACCCGAGACCATGATTTACCCTCCTTAAAAAAAAAAAAAAAGTCACCTTGCACATGACCTAGAAGGCGAGCTACCTGCCTCTTTCATAATCACATCCCAGTGATGGCGAGCCTTAATGAGGCCATGCAGGGGAGCTGCTTACTGGCTTGCTTCCCATGGTTTGCTCGGCCCACCTTCATAAAGAACCCAGGACCATCTGCCTAGGGATGGTGCCACCCACCGTGGGCCGGGCCCTCCCCCACTGATCACTAAATGAGAAAATACCTTACAGCTGGATCTCATCGAGGCATTTCCTCAACTGAGGCTCCTTCCTCTGATGACTCTAGCTTGTGTTGAGTTGACACACAAACCAGCCAAGACACAAAATAACTCCCTTATAAAGGTTACCTGGAAGGAGCCTTTGAGGTGGAAGGTGTGATGCACACACATGTACCTGGAGGAATGCATGCAGGCATAGTGGGGTGAAAGAAGGATTTGCAAGTGTCTTCTGCTATTGATCTCCATCTTGCAAATTGAGATAGGGTCTCTCACTGAACCAGAAACTTGCTGTCTGCTGAGCAGGCTGACTGTTCAGGAAGCTCCTGGGCTCTGCTGATCTTCACATCCCAACACTAAGGTTACAGGCACAAGAAGCCACGCAGGGATTGATATTCAGGTCTTTCAAGGCAGGGTTTCTCTGTAGCTTTGGGGCCTGTCCTGGAACTAGCTCTTGTAGACCAGGCTGACCTCAAACTCACAGAGATCCACCTGCCTCTGCCTCCCGAGTGCTGGGATTGAAGGTATGCGCCACCACTGTCCGGCTCAGATCTTACTTTCTTAACAAGAACTCTTGCTCACCTGAGCCCCCTGGAGTCTTCTTATTTTCAACTGAGAGTTTAAACGTTCTTTACTTATTACCATGTGTATGATGGAGGCCGGGAGAGGAGCATGCAAAGAGATCAGAGGATACCCTGTAGAGTCAGTGCGTTTCTGCCCATCTTAGGTGCTGGGGACTGAACTCAGACTCATGTTTCAAGCACTTTATCCACTTGGTCAGCTCAATGACCCATCTGAATTTTGTTTTTGTTTCTTTGTTTTAATTGGCACAAGAAGGTTAGGTCAAAACACCTGCACTAAAAGTAGTCTGCTTAACAGAAATATGTTGAAAATCTTTGCTGCTACTACTACTACTATTATAACAGTCTATTTTTCTCTAAATGTTTATAAAAAAGAACATAATTAAATTTAAATAGATACCTGATCAACGTCTCGCCTCTTCCAGTTTTCCAATCTCCATTCTGAAAGACATAGATATAAAACACGATGTTAAAATTTTTAACAAGGACTGTTTGTCTTATTTTCAGGTGTGTGGGACACTCCATGTAAAGGCTAAGTATTGGAAACCTCTTTCTTAAACCACGTATGGAAAAAAAAAAAAGACCGAGAAAGGCAGAGGCAGAGGGGGAAATGCTAAAGTATTTTTAAAAAGAAAAACTGAAAAAATAAATCCTTAGCATTTTCTATGATTTATTAAGTATTTTAACATGCTCATTTGGAAATATAATGTTCCTAACATCCAAGGAAACAAAGAGGGAAGTCCCAGCCTAAAGGCAACTGCCAGCAAGGCCACCACTCCCCCAGCTGTGCCTCTGACTGTGGCAGCCAACACACCCACCCTCCCTTTTCTGGGTTGGCAGCAGTTAGCAAAGCATTTAAAACTGGAGCTATGATGCTCCTGTAACCCCAACTTTTAACACAGTAGTTACTATTACAATCCCCTTCATAGGGTGCAGCTAGCCCAGCTTTGGAGGAAACTCATTGACTTCCACAGTGGCTGTACCAGTTTGGACTCCCACCAGCATTTGCTGTCATTTGTGCTTGGAGCTTAGTACTTCTGACTGAGCTGAGGTGGGATCTCAGAGCAATTTTGATTCGCATTTCCCTGGTGGCTGAGGATTTGCATATTAAAAAGGTATTTATTTCTCAGCCATTTGTATTTCATCTTTTGAGAGCTTCCTGTTTCATGCCCAATCACTGTTTTTGTTTTGTGGTTGTTAAGTTTTTGAGTAAATTTTATAATCTAGATACTAACTCTCTGTCCAGAAGCTTATAAGTTTCCTGTGGTCCAATCTATCAGCTGTTCATCTTAGTGCTTGCATTACTGGGCTCCTGTTCCGACAGTCCTTTCCTGTGCCTAAAGTTCAAGCACAATCCCTACTGTCTCTTCTAGCAGGTTCAGCCTACCAGATCTTACGGTGAAGTCCATCCCTCATCGCTGTTAGCAATGGTGTTCAGCACAGTAATAAAAAGGACCCAACTCAAGAACTTCCTTTGTTTTCTAGGTTTCATCTCCTACTGGGCAGAAGTTTCCATGGCATGCACGATGCAGTCAGACATCTGCTTTCCATGCTATTAGGGTATACTGTCATCCTCTACAAAGTTCATGGTAAGGAGCTAAGTACAGAGAGACATTTCATTGTATGGACTAAGCAAACCAGTCTTACTGTCTAAGACAGGCCCAAGAGGTTCTTCTTTTGTTTTCACAGAGGATGAGACCCTGTGGATTGCTTCTAGACCAATATGGTACGATAGACCACGTCCTCCTGAAAGGTTGCCGTAAACAACCTCAGAAAATTAATTCGCTCAACTGCTGACTGAGATGAACCTAACATACAGGATATACCATGAAAGACCCAATTAACAGCACCCTTATATAGCACAAAGCAGTTTGGAAAGAAAAAACTACACCCATATTCCCAAATATTATTTATAAATGTTCTTTTACATTTAAAAGGGGATATGATATAGATATGAATAATTTGCATTGGTATAGATTTGGTTTTATTGATATAAATTTAAAGTCAATCTTGTATGTATATTTCTGTTCTTGATTAAGGTATTGTGATTGTGTAGTTCATTTAAAAATGAAATGTATAATTAGGAAATAGAGGTTGTTAATGGATAATCATCGATAATAGTCAAGCTTGTAGTCATGTTAGTTAGATTTTCTAGATATATAGAGATATATTTCAGTTAGATAGGCATTCTTCATATCTTTCAAAGACTACAGAATATGGCATTTAAAATGTTTTAATAATTTAGGGCTTTTCATACATCTGCTCCTGGCAGCACCAGTTACTTCAAGAGAAAGATGGGCATCAAAGAGGCTCCTTATGGAGTTGGTTAGCCATTTGGGCAAGAAACTGCTCTTGCCTGGACTGTTGCATAAACTGGACAGGAAGAACCGCAGAGAAATGGCTGCTAGACTTGCCTAAAGGTGAGATGATCCTTCGGGGTTCCTGTTTCATGAAAGAGTCTGTGAGACGTTCTACAGGACACAGAAGAAAGTGACTGAACTGCCTTTGAAATTTCCTGCTTCGTGGAAATGTCTGCTAAATACTATGGGCCTGTAGGCTGAAGATGGATGCCCCAACAGTACAGAAGAACTTTGGGTGACTGAACAGGCAGTGAGATGTCTCTGCCATTTCTAGAGTTTTGGAAGTTGCTTATAATGCACTTCCTGTTTACTTAAGTAATATTATCTCCTTCTGGAGTCTTTGATGGAGTTGAAGAATTTATACATATAGTTTTCCTTAGTTGTGATAAAAGATAAAGTAGATATAAATATTGTAACTAATTCTTCCTTGATAACTATTTTGCTATATGCAATTTTACTATGTTAAAGTTAAAGCCTTCCTTTTTGTTTAAACAGAAAAAGGGGATATGATATAGGAGGTTCTTCTGTCTATGTGTTGCTTTCATTGGTTGAATAAAGGAACTGCCTTGGCCTTTTGATAGGGCACCACTTAGGTACGTGGAGTAGACAGAACTGAATGCTGGGAAGAAGGGTGCAGAGAGAGAAAGAGCCGTCATGGAGCTGCCAGGTCAGACATACTGAATCTTTCCTGGTAAGCCACGACCTCGTGGTGACATACAGATTATTAGAAATGGGTTGAATCAAGGTGTAAGAATTAGCCAATAAGAGGCTAGAACTAATGAGCCAGACAGTGTTTAAATGAATATAGTTTCTGTGTGATTATTTCAGGTGTAAGCTAGGGAACAAAGAGCCACCGCTCCTCATACAACAGTTTACTCTGCAACAATACCTGGTTGCAGGAGGAAGCACAACCTGAGATTACCCGAGCACCACCCAAAAACAGACTATCCAAAGGAAATGCCAAACATTCCCAACCACTGTAGATAGGATCACCTGCTAGCACACACCAAAACACCCCTTGACAAATGTCAGCCAATCAGGGTTCCTGAACCTCAGAAACCCCTCACCCCCACTTTTACTACTATAAAAACCCAACTCTAACTAAGCTTGGGGCTCTCTGATTATAAATACATTGGACATGTGAAGAGACCGAGTCTGAAAACTTGCATAAAATAAAGGTTGTTTGCTTTTATATAAGGGACTCGGTCTCCTTGTTGGCTTTTAGGGGACTTGGCGGATTTGGGCATAACATACTACTGCTGTATTTTGGCCCTTTCTCAAATACTTCCCCTGTAGGCCTATGACCTTGCCTGGGGTTTGGCCAAAATTATCTCAGGGCTTGTACCTCAAGGCCTATAGGACAGAATAAAGCCTGGTTCGAGTACTTTGAGGCCTGGAGGACAGAGAAAAGCCTGGCTCAAGTTTGAGAGAGGATGAGACAGCAAAAATTAGATAGACGTCCCTCCAGCCAAAGGGAAGGTTTGGCTGCATTTCATTGGATGGAGGTACCCCACATCACACCATGTCACTTAAGCTATATAAACTGACGCTCACAGTAGTAAACTGAGCTCCTGCTTGACTGGAGTCCCTAAGGCGTCTGATTGCCCTGCTTAGTGGGACTGCAGAATGGACAAGGAGCACACTCACCTTTCCTTGGGCCTGAATATGGAGGCTCAAGAAGCCTGGCACCTGGAGGCCAAAGAAGCTAGCAGACTGGTATTCTCTGTTAGAACTAACAATATGTAAACAACATAATGAAAAATGTACCATGACGTACGTGAACACATGCTGTGCCATTTTCACCTGGGTCCAGCTTTTCATATAAAGGATATATATATATATATATATATATATATATGACACTGCAATCTCTTAATATGTTTTTCGCTTAAGTTGGAAAACTGTAATTAATTTTATAATTTGTCTCTAAGAAACTGTGCTTTCTTTCTTGTTTTATTCTTATTTCTAATTAAATTTTTAGCATAATAAAACAAGATTAAAATTTCTGATTCCTAGATAATTAGAAAGGCCAAAATAGTCACTAACAGTGGTATACTGGGAAATATTCAAGAAATGGTTCTGGTGAAAAAGAGAAAAGGAGAGAAAGCAAATTAACCAACTCCTGGATTTGGAGCATTTGCATAGAACAATGATTAATGACAGAATCATTAAAATGAGGAATTTAAAACAATTTGAAATAATTGTTAAAAACTGTTTGAAAATGTCAACTTAGTTTAATTCTAGTTGTATTTTAAATGCTATCTACATGGGCATGTGACTACACAAACAAATATTAGTACCTTTTAAAAACTCGTCATCGAATTGCTGAGTTGATACTTTTTGAGGAACTTTGATCCCGGCTCCCCAAGTCACTAAAGGAGTTAAAGTCTCTGAAGGATGACCAGCACCGTGGGAACCTGCAGCAGAGATGTCAAGAGTCGTCAGAGGAGTATATAATCACCGACAATCACAAAACAATCTCTAACTGTTTTGTCTTAAAGAATTGATCCATGTGAAGCTGGGGAAATCAGAGGCCCAAATTCAGGAACTACTGCTGCTTTGCTAAATAGATATAATGTGACTTTCAAACTGTCTTTTCAATAACTATGCTGACATCCATATATTAGGACTGTTTCAGCTTTAGCTAAAGAAGCTGCTTTCTAAAGTGAGGAGCAATAATTGCAATAATATGTAACTGATCAAAGTGATGAAAACAGGTGGCTAATGAACGTTCAGCCTTTAATGGGACATCTACATCACGTGTGCACATATACACCAAGGTTCAGGGGTCAACAGAGAAGGGGCTGGGGCACACAGGAAAAGAGAATAGGGAAGAGATTTTTGAGGGGAGTCATCCCCCAATTGGGAGCAAGTGTTTCAGGGCCTCTAAAAAGGACAGTAACATGTATAGATTCACCATGGTTTGAAAATGAAACGTTCCTCAGAGGTTCACGTACTAAAACCTTGCTTTGGGCAGCTGCAGAAACATTAGGATGTTGGGGCTAGCTTAAGTTATGAGTCACTGGAGGTATGTTTTGAGGGTAATACCCTGTCCTTGTCCCTATTTATTTTAGCTTTCTATCTACTACAAGGTAAAAAATCCTCTGCCAAACACCCTAGAAACATGGCGTTCTGCCCAACCCAAGCAAGCACAACGAATCCTCTAAATCAGTGAGTCAATATTTCCTCTTAAGCTGCTCTCCTGCACTTTGGTCACAGCTATATCCTTCTCTTCCAGCCTCACTGTAAATGGGATGGCAGAAGGCAGTCCTTTATAACATGGAACCAGCTCAAGAACTCAAACCTCATCTTTATGTCGTATCATTCAGAGCACACACTGCATTTGCCTTGGGAATCTCAGGAGCACACTGTCCTAGGTAGTCTGCAGCTGTCCGCAGCAATGCAGCAATGCAACGATGCATTGTAACTAGCATTACTCCCTTTGCCTCCACATGGGAGGGATTCCAGGGAGAATTTCTTTTCTAATATAAAACTGTGAAGAAAATTTAAAAGTACTTGAATTTTTTTCTACTTACTCATTTGTAAATGAGACTATATTCTTTTTATAAATAGAAAAAAAGAGAATCCCTTATAGAGGTGAGATTATTTACTATTTTAAACGTACAATTATGTGCTGGATTTTTGCATACTGCAAGACATCGGGTCTTCTGAACATAATATTTGTAAACTATATCTGCCACGACTCTCACTAAGGCAGCACAGAAACACAGACTAACCCCAGTCTGTCATTCCATGGTCAGAGGTAAAGATATATGCTGTTTTCCCATCATCACCATAAAAATGCTTGAATATTGACACAATTTCCTTCACTCCATCATCAACGTTTTTAATATTGTCCTTATATTCCCTGTTTACAAAGAAACAAAAGAACAAGTTAAATTAATTTAGAGGAATCAAATTTATCCAACCCATACTCATTACATTTAAGTCAAGAACTGAAGAAATGCTTTACTATTTTAAAATCAGAGGCTCCTGTTAAGACTAATTTTTCCCTTTAATGAATTTAAAAAATCCTCAAATAATTTTCATAGACATTTTAAAAGGAAAATGTTGATTATTAAATATATTTTAATAAACACTTTTAAAATCCTAAACAGGATAATGGACTTTTAAGTCCATGTCATATAAACGGTTTTGGTGACTTTAACAGGGAAGTAAAATAATTTAAAATATAGAATATTCCCACACTATAAAGTATTTGTGACTTAAATCTACTGCAGTGCTGAGAACTGTACTCAAAGCTTCCCACAGAGTTGAACAAAGCTGGTGTAATATGAATATATTTCACTAGTGAAAACAGTACATCAAGTTAAACTAGGGAAAATGAGATATTCATGCTGGTAATTAAACCATCAGACATTATAGTTAACATAAAACCAATTCAAAATAAAGAATAAAAATTCAAATGATTTCTTCTTTCTTATGGTCTGCAAAGCTGAGAAGAGCACTAAGGAAGTAACTACACCTCATGCAGTCATTAGCTGGATACAATGCGGACTGAAAAACACCCAGGAATTACATCTTCTGTTATAAAAATTCATAAAATGTTTATGCTTTTCAGATTCACTGAAGATATCCCCCAAATGTGGGTAATTCAGACATTTCTCTCTGCCTTGATAAATGAAGAATATCGACTGTGTGAAGATCTATCTCACTTATTCTAATGTGCAGTGTGGCAAAGCATACGTGATCTGGCTACTGTAAAACAACACATCATACAGCTGAAAACATTACACAGGACAGCAGGTACATAGACTACTAGTTCTGTTGTCATAACTACAAAGAAAATTTCATATCATATCAAAATTTCAAATGGGATAGCTATTCCCGACAAGATGAAATTGAACACATCACTAATATTACCTTGACGATGGTCGGTGAGCATGTCCATTTGTATCTATTCCTAATAAATGTAAGAAAAATACTACCTTTTCCTCATTCACTTTTGAGAACAAAGACTGGTTGTTCCTCGCAGCATCAAAGAAGTCCTAAATGTAAAAAATCAGGTGAAAAGTAGTTAATTTATAAATAACTATAAATTAATTCATTTTATATTGTTTAATTTTGTCATCAAGGTATAACATGAAATCTTTGTTATCAATTCAGACATTTCTGTCCAAATAATCTTTGAGCTATTCTGATACAATTAGGCAAAACAATTATAGAAAAATGAGCTTAATTTCATACTATTCTTACCACAGATCTACTGTAATTAAAAACTGAAGAACAATCTGGTTAAGAGGCAAATGTTAAACAACAATGGTGGGAGGAGTGCAAGGACATTTATTATATTTAAGTATACTTGGAAATTGTCATTTTTCATCACCCCGCCCACTGCCCTTTAAGTTAAACTATGGCCTCTTACTTGGCTGTGAGAATGCCTAGCTACTTCCTGTTCCATGGCTAGGACCTGCTTTGGCTGTCCTGTGGTGGAGAAGCACCACTTAAATACAGTTCAGAACGTATTACATTTACATCCTAATAATAACCTACATTCATAAGCCTTTCAGACATTAATAATTCACCCTGACTCACATTCATAAGCACGTATGCAAGTGCACCCAAAGAGAGTACTTTAAAATTATTTTAAATAAGCCAGGCAGTGGTGGTGTATGCCTTGAATCCCAGCACTTGGGAGGCAGACGCAGAAGAATGTCTGTGAGTTCAAGGCCAGTCTGGTTTACAAGAGCTAGTTTCAGGACAGCAAGGGCTGTTACACACAAAAATCTGTCTCAAAAAATAAAAACAAAAAAATTATTTGAATAAACAGATTATGTTAACATGTATCATCATTGTTTACATGTTTATAAATTTAAAAGATGCTAACTTTCAATTAAAAAAAATACAATGTATTTAAAAGCATAAGTGTAATAATTAAGAGAAATTATTCAAGGATAAAACAGATCTTAAGCTTCCATTTATAGTCTCCTTGAGTTAATTTTATAGTTTTCTCCATGAACCATAGACACAAGATGTGTGAGCTACGAAACACTAACCAAGAGGAGCTCAACCTGTGTCTCAGCAGGAGTCACTTCAAACGCCTTTTTCAAGTTCTGCTGCTTAAAGAAGATCACGAGCAATTAGTAAAGGCTAGCCGACTAATTTGTTTAGGTTTATCAGAATTTTCTCTTTTGTGCAGATTTTTTATGTGTTTGTGACTATATGTATGTCCACCAAGTTCACACAGGTGCCCAAGGAGGCAGAAGAGCTGTCAGATCCCTGGAACTGAAGTTATAGGTGGTTGTGAGACACTCACAGTGCTAGGGATCAAACCTGGGGAGTTTATAAGAGCTGAGTCATCTGTCCAGCCTCTACTCTCTTAAAAATCTAATTTTTTGCTATTATAAAATTACTTCTTTTGTAACGGCATTTTCAAGATGCTCCACATCTCACATGGCCCATTATGACCAGACCAAAGCTCCAAGGTCAACAGAAGGTCAAGAGCTGCCTGCAATGACTCATCAAACAAGAAATGGAAAGAAATTTTTTCTGGATTCTAATGTTGGGCTCATTTTACCTTGGAGTTTATCTCTCTAAACACTAAGTTTTAGAGAGATATTTCAAAAAAATAACTTTATTAGTCATTTTATAACATGTAATTTCTTTAAAAAAAAATAGCATGGTACAACACCAAACGCTCCAGTTAAGACAGGCAGCAAACTAAACTTGAGATGAGCTCACTCAGAAATGAATTTTCAAGACCCTACATAAGTGCGTATTTAGTTATAAACCACTAAATAGCAAATACCTCTCCAGGTGTACTCACATGTAAAACAGAACTTAGGACATTGAGGAAAGAAGTCCCACAACTAAGGCCAGCCTGGGCTACATAACAAGACCCTCTTTCAAAACAAAGAAAAACAGCAAGTACCTTAACTTTATCAAAAACCCAGGTATCCAGTTTTGTGGCATCATGGGCACCAAAATCCTCTTTTTGAGCATCATAACTATATGTATAAACATGGTCACCACTAGCACCTGAAAAGGAATTTTGAGAAATACACAAATTGGGGGAAAAAATCTTTTAAGCTGTCATAAAATATGAAATAATCAAAAGTATTTTTGCTGTTTTGAGATAAAATTGTTATATTGTCCACACTAGTATTGAACTCATGACCTCAAATTATCCATCCTCTTATACATCCTGAGTTCAAGGATTACAAGCATGCCCCTATCATACTTGCTTTACTTACAAGCAGGCAGAATTAATTACAAATTACTTTATGATAGAGATAAGAAACATAGAAGAAATAGCTTACTTTATATTCATTCATGTTATATACATCAACATATTCTTTTCGTTCTCAAAATAATATATTTCGCCAAAATCCTAATATGCAATAAAGTAAAAAATAGTTCAGAAGTTTATTCCCACTGCAATGTGTGCTCTCAAGAAGTTACAATATTAAATAGATAAAAATAGCCAGCTGATGTAGGTGGGTCTTCTGCATTTCTGTTGCTTTCACTGGTTAATTAATAAAGAAACTGCTTGGCCTGATAGGTCAGAACATAGGTGGGTGGAGTAGACAGAACAGAATGCTGGGAAGAAGGCAATGAAGCAGACGCCATGCAGCCAGTCACCAGATCAGACATACTGAATCTTTCCCAGTAAGCCACCACCTCGTGGTGACTTACAGATTATTAGAAATGGGTTGAAGTCAAGATGTAAGAGTTAGCCAGTAAGAGGCTGGAGATAATGGGCCAGGCAGCATTTAAAAGAATACAGTTTCTGTGTAATTATTTCGGGTGCAAACTAGCCAGGAGCCGGGCAGGAACACGGATCGCCACTCCTATTCACTACAGAATGGTGCCTAACGTGGATGGCTACATCCACATAAAGCCTGAGACAGCTTGGGAAGTAATTCTAGAACAAAATGACAGCATTGCGCATGGTTTCTTGGTAGCAGCAATTTCCCGGGTCTGCTATACTTGCTAGAGGCAAGCAAGCACTCTCATCTAAGAGAGGCTTCCTGACTCAGCTTTAGCTGCAAAACCCTGCAGCTCTTTAAGAGGACCTGCCACGAAACATCTAAATAGTGTTGATAAAAGCTGACCACATGATTGTTGGTTTTCAGCTGTAGCAGGAAAAAAGCTGCGCTGTTTTAAAATGTTGGCTTTCTGGGCTGTCCTGCTAGAGCAAATTCTGACTCTTTCAGGCAGGCAGTCCGACTGAGTGTGGTCTGTGAGCAGAATGCTGCAGCTTGTTTGCTGGCAGGGACCTTGAAACACCACAGAGTTGTGGCAATAAAAATAGCTACAGCCGGTACCTCAGCCACGAGGCTGGAAAACTAAGGAATGGGCTGGATCTAGCTGTCAAAGCCACGACTTTAGTCCTACCGATATTGCTTGGTAAATTAAAGACTCATGTGGTCAGAAAAAGAGAGATATACAGTAAAGAGAGATTCAAAGACAAAGAAAACCTCTAAATGGTTTACAGTATGTTAAAAATACATGCATGCTAAAGGTTAAAATTCTTAAAAATAAAAAAAAGAGGGCAGAGGTAGATTGACCTCTGTGACTTCAAGGTGTGGTAGCACACACCTTTAATCCCAATGCCTGGGAGGCAGAGACAGACAGATTTCTGTGAGTTCAAGGTATGGTAGCATACACCTTTAATCCCAGCACTTGGAAGGCAAAGACAGACAGATCTCTGTGAGTTTAAGGATAGCCTCACCTACAGAGGGAGTTCCAGGACAAAGATACACAGAGAACCTGTCTCAAAAAGCCAAAAACTAAAAATAAAAGAAATACAGGTTAAAGTAAAGCCACATAAAGATGGAAAATACACAGAGAATCTTGATACTGTATGCTATCATGCTCTATTTGAATTGTTTGAATGCTGAAAAAGGAGCAACAGCTGCTAAAAGATATTTGCTTATAAATGCTGCTGAATTTTGAAAATATCTTTACTTCAAAATTTAAGTCAAAAGGTATGTTACTTTGGAGAAGAGGATTTGCTTTTGTTTCCACAGGAAATGAGAGGCTGTGGATTCATTCTGAGCAAATAAAAATCAGGTTCGATAAAGGAAGACCACCTGAGAAATCTCCCATAGGAACAGATGGCCCAATATCAGAGTTCTTCATTCAGAACAGATTCAGGACTGCTGCCTGAGGTGATCAAGAATCACACGATACTGCAGCCAGGACTTGATGATAATTTTCTTTAGGTCCCCATAAGATTATCAGTGGGGGGCTGGAGAGATGGCTCAGAGGTTAAGAGCACTGGCTGCTCTTCCAGAGGTCATGAGTTCAATTCCCAGCAACCACATGGTGACTCACAACCATCTGTAATGAGATCTGGCGCCCTCTTCTGGTGTGTGGGCATACATGGAGGCAAAATGTTGTATACATGATAAATAAATAAATCTTTAAAAAAAAAAAAAAGATTATCAGTGCCCCCAAGCAGCAGGAAGTAGCCTGGAATACTACGCCCACATTCCCAAAAGATGGACTATGGATATTTTCATTTGTTTAAAAAAAAAAAAAAAAAGAGGGGGAAGTGGTGCGAAATAATTGTCTGTATTCTGTCAATCATGTTTCAAATAAATGCTGATTGGCCAGGCAGGAAGTATAGGCGGGTCAACCAGACAGGAAATAGAGGTGGGGCAATGAGAACAGGAGTATTCTGGGAAGCGGGAAGCTCGCTCTGCATTCCTGCCCAGACCAGAGAGAAGCAACATGTGACCTGCCCCACTGTGAAAGGTACCAAGTCATGTGGCTAACATAGAAAAGAACAATGGGTTAATATAAACTACAAGAGCTAATAAGTAGCCTTAGCTAATGGGCCAATCAGTTTTATAACTTATGGAGATCTCTGTGTGATTTTTCTTTGGGGGGCTTGCCAGCTGTGGGGTATCGGGCAGGACATAAACCCCAACAAGCAGGTCCCTCATATACTTCTTCCTAACCCAAACACAAACATTTTGCTTATCTTAAAATTATGTTCATTTGTCTCAACATAAGGAAATAAACAGACTAGAATTGTAGTGTGGGCCTATAATCCCAGGTTTCATGTCAGTCAGGCCCTGTCTCAAAAGCAAGGACTGGGGGAAGAAGGTCAAATGCTGTTTAGAGCCAAATACAAAAGTGGAAAAATATGTTAATCTTATAAATTCATGAAACCTGGGTTAAGAATCTAAAACAATTTCTGGAGTGGAGAAGCTCTTGCAGGTTGTAAAGATGATATAGTGTTGTGATATTTTACTATTTTGGCTTTTGAGGGGACCCACTACCCAGCTCCCGAATAAATCATACATAGAGGCTTATTCTTTATTATAAGTGCCCAGCCTGGTGCAAGAGAATTGTCTGTATTCTGTCAATCATGTTTTAAATAAACGCTGATTGGCCAGGCAGGAAGTATAGGAGGGAAAACCAGACAGGAAGTAGAAATGATACAATGAGAACAGGAGAATTCTGGGAAGGAGGAAGCTGATTCCTCCCACTCCTGGCCAGATCATCGAAGCAGCAGGATGTGATCTATCCCATTGAAAAAGGTACTGAGCCACATGGCTAACACAGATCAGAATAATGGGTTAATACAAGTCATAAGAGCTAATAAGAAACCTGAGTTAATAGGCCAATCAGCTTATAACTTATGGAGACCTCTGTGTGATTTTCTTTGGGGCTAAACAGCTGGGGGAATTGGGCAGGACAGAAAATTCCAACAAGTCAGCCCATCATGTTACACCAGGCTTAGCCTGGCTTGTTTCTAGCCTGCTCTCCTTAACTTAAATTATCCCAAATACCTTTTGCCTCTGAACGTTTATCTTTCTTACTTCTGTATATCTTACTTTTACTCTTACTGTGTGGCTGGCTGGCCCCTGAAGTCTGTTAGGCCAAAATTATCTCAGGGCCTGTACCTTGAGGCCTGTACGACAGAGAAAAGCCTGGCTCGAGTTTGAGGGAGTATCAAAGCTAATGAAGATGAGACAGCAAATCCAGGTAGACGCCCCTCAGGCCAGAGAAAGGACTTGGCTGTCTCTCATTGGCTGGAGGTATCCCCACTACATGATGTCACTTAACCTATATAAGCTGATTCTCACAGTAATAAACTGAGTTCCTGCTTTGACTTGACTCCCTATCGCTTCAGATTGCCCTGATTCATGGAGCTGCAGAATGGGCAGATAGCACACTCACTTTTCTCTGGTGATAAGGAGTCTAAGGAGGCCTAGCAATGTCTTCCCCCCTTTGTTCTCTCTCGGTTCTCCTTCTATTTATACTCTCTGCCTGACAGCTCTGCCTATCCTTGCTCCTGCCTCGCTACTGGCCATTCAGCTCTTTCTTAGACCATCAGGTGTTTTACACAGGCAAAGAATCACAGCTTCACAGTTAATCAAATGCAGCATAAACAAAAGCAGCACACCCTAAAATAATTTTCCCCCACAACAGAGCATTAAGCAATGACACTCTATGACATCAGCTCTGCGCTACTGACACTGACTCTGCTCAGCCATTCTACGCCTGAATGTAGACATCTGAAGGAGTTGGTTATTTACCACCACACATAATGAAGCGTTCCTATTGGTCTGTGGCGTCAGCTCTGTTTTATCAACTGTGGCCAGAAGTACAAGGGCTAATTTGGTAAGTCACAGTAACTTAACCAGCCCTCACTGCTTCCTAAAGAATGAGATATAAAACAGCAAATGGGACCTGCCCAGTGTAACACCAGCTTATGAACAGCACACTAACAATTCTGAACACATAGTTCGCCTTCGGGACACATGATTTTCTTCAGTACTTCCAATTTTATCAGTGCTGTATATGACGTTATAAAATCTTTACATTAAATGATCTGTCACTTTGCTCCCAGGAAAGATCATTTAATGACAAGAACTTCATCCAACTGACTTTTTCAAATAAATTTTGTAATTAAGAGATGACCTAATATTTCTGGATTTGTCCACATAAACAAATTCAACAAATCCTATTTCCAACGTAGTGAACTGTAAGTGGCATTTCAATATATTAAATAACATATTAGTATTATATGCATTAAATGCCAAAACTATGGCACAATAAATAGATTAGTCATTATAAATGTTTGAATATTTAAAATCTTATGTAACTACCTACTGGCTTCTTTAACAAATTATCTAAGCATGAAGAGCCAAACGCCAACACTGTTCCCATAAAGAGAACAAGCACTTTGATAAATGATGCATGTGAGTCACTGAATTTTAAAACAATCCTTTATGATGTTACACTATTAGAACATATTTTATATAAAGGAAAACTGGAGCTCAAGTTAATAAGGTTGTTATAAGATAAAATATATCATTTTACTGAATTAAAAAATATTAAGAGTTCTTCCAAAAATAAATAAATAAATAAAAGCAGTGGTGGCGCATGCCTTTAATCCCAGCATTCAGGAGGCAGAAGCAGGTGGATATCTGGGAGCTCGAGACCAGCCTGGTCTACAAGGCAAGTTCCAGCACACCTAGGACACCAAGAGAAACCCTCTCTCAAAAAGCCATATATATATATATATATATATATATATATATATATATATATATATAAAAACAGTGTTCCACAGATATTAATATTTAAAATGCAACAAAGGAGAAATCCTATTTGTTGAACTGACAAATCCACTGTATGACACATTCCTGTTTTCAGAAGTGATAAAAATCTTTAGAAATGAATAACTACAACATAAAAAAATAAAACCCAGCAAGATGCTAAGTGGCTATATGCACTTCTACCAAGCCTGACATCCTGAGTTACATCCCTGGGATCCACATGGTAGAAGAACATGACTGCTGCAAATTGCCTCTGACTTCTACACGAGTACCATGTGAATCATGAACACACATAATATATGGCTGGCTGGAACTCACTATGTAGGACACGCTGGCCTCAAGCTCAGAGAGATCTACTTGCCTCTGTTTTCAGAACACTGGGACTAACAGCATGTACATCAGGCTAAATGAAGTTTTTGTTTTTTTGTTTGTTTGTTTGTTTTAGATAAAGAATAAAAAACCAAGGGATAGAGTATAATAGAGTAACAGACTAGTCTCATACGGGAGAGGTTCTGAGGCCAATCCCCACCACTGCAACAATAAAAACATTTATTTCTGACTTACTTGCTTCCTGAAGAAATATGTTTGATATGCTTACCTTTGGCAAACATAGGCAAGATGTCCGGACTCCCCCAGCTCCACGTGTACTTGCTCTCATTAAAAAGAGAGTCAAATTCGACAGGATTTTCTTTCCATCCTTTGAATAACAGAGAAGAGAGGCACACAATAATATAAGAAAACAACAAAAGAAGGCCTGAAAGAAGCATTCTTTAAACAGTAATTGAAGACTACACATAAAACTCAGATTTTATTAGGCTTATTATACTCTAAAAATAAATGGAAGAAGCTGGGTGGTGGTGGCACACATCTTTAATCCTAGCACTCAGGATGCAGAGGCAGGTGGATCTCTATGATTCCAAGGCTGGCCTGGTCTACAGAGAGAATTCCAAGAAAGGCTCCAAGGTTACAAAGAAACTTTGTCTTGAAAAAACAAAAACCAATAGGTAGACAGACAGATAAATGATAGATAATCCATTTCTTACTAAAATAATCACTTTTAAATTCTTGATTGTAATGCTTAACAAAGCCATATTTCCACACACACATACTTTTTCAGTGCCATAGGGTTATGGCAGATTAAAATTTAATTCCAGAACCAATACCAGGGTATGTTCATGTGAGTAAGGTATACTCAAAGACTTGTTACAAGAATCTCAAAGCACAGTCTTGGGACTTGACAGATGGCTGGCGAAGTTAAAGCACCTGCTGCTCCTGCTAACCCTGTGTCCTAGGTTTGGATTCCAGCACCAATACGGGTGGCTCACAACCACCTCTCACTCTAGTTCTGGAGAGATTAACGCCTTCTTCTGGCCTCCATGGGAACTGCAAACATGGGGTGCATAAACAGACAAGCGAATACACACACACACACACACACACACACACACACATACACAAATCTTTAAAAACAGAATGAGTTTTCAACTAATGGCATGATTCGTGGTAGGAAAAGTATTTATATAGCAAACATTTTATTTGATAAAATTGTTTCAGAACAGAACCTTTGGCAACTGCACTGACATCCTCATAAAAGCCAGCTATTAGGGCTACATGGCCAGGGCGAGATTCTGTTGGCACACGTGTGTGAGATACTCCCCAGCTGCCTTCATGCATTATGACGTTCCTAAAAGACAATTGGAATGAACAGTTAACATATGCTAGTATTAAAACTCTCATAAGGCTTTAAGAAAGAGTTTTACGTAAGGAGTCAAAAACCAAAAAGTTAATTTTAAGATGGGAGGGAATCTCAAAGCCCAGTTGATCCCAATCCTATACTGCCCACCAATTCATCACAGTAGCATGAAGGAACCCAGGTAATATAACAAAGAAATTCTCCCCTATTCCAGAGAAACAAGAGACAAACTACACCCTAGAGTTCCAAGCCACAAAGCAGAGATGTTTGCTAATGTAGGAAAACAATGATATGCAGAATACTACATGGTTAAATTTTATTTGCTGCGAGGATGGTATATGGCTATAGAAAATAAAGTCTTTGTTCTTAACACATGCAGTATAGTGTTTGGTGGAGAAATGCCACATTGTCATATTTTCAATTGTTCAGGAGAAAAACTATTTTATAATATATTATAATAAATAATTACATTTTATAATATATGCTTACACAGTTGAGTATGTAAAAAAAATCACATATTTTTAAGATTTAAAAAAAAAAGGCCAGGCATGGAGGTACATGGCCTTAATCTGAGGGCTTGGGAGGCAGAAGCAAGCAGATCTCTAAGTTTGAGGCAAGTCTGGTCTACCAAGGTCCAGACCAGTCAGCATGACTCAGAAAAAAAAAAATGTTTTTTTGTCTTAAAAAATTGTCAACTGTAAGCTAAATGATGCTTATCAATTCATAATACAATCTTTTCTTTAAACTCAATCTACCATTTCTAAGACACACCCGGAACTTGTTGCCGTCCTTACCTAATAAACGGTGCTCTAGAGTTACCATCTTCATCTAATTCATAAAGAGCATCCGCTCTCAGCCCATCAGCAACAAATAATACTAATCTTTTTGCTGGAGGAGGCAATGGTGTAAACTGAGGAGTCATTCCATGAACCAAAGGAGATGTAAAATAAATGTCAAAGATGGAGGTGAAGAACACAAAATGTACAAGCAATCCCAAAGCAAAAAACAGCAGCATATCCAGAATGAGCGACCTGCAAGAGAAGCCAGAACAGGGAACAAAGTCAAGCTGGACACACGTGAAGATGATCTTCAACATATCTGACGGCTTCACACACTGGCCCTGCGTCACGGTACTATACAACTTCTCTCATTTACAATGCTAACAAAAACACTGTTAAACAACTTAAGATAATACTGAAATGCTAAAGTAGACCAAGCATAAAGAAATCAAATTCATGGGGGCTGGAGAGATGGCTCAGCAGTTAAGAGCACTGGCTGCTCTTCCAGAGGTCCTGAGTTCAGTTCCCAGCAACCACATGGTGGCTCACAACCATCTATAGTGGGATCTGAAGCTCACTTCTAGCATAAAGGTATACATACAGATAGAGTACTCATATACATAAAATAATAATAGGAATAATAATAATAAAAGTCATAATGTTTAAAAAAATCAAGTTCAATCAGGATTAATAAACTATAACTAATCCAGTTAACTACTAAGCAATTAAAACTTAGCAAAGGAACACAGAACAAAAGGTCATAAAATTAGTTAGGTAATCACAGGAAATCTTAAATAACACAAAAAATGTAACTCAAGTCACTCTTGGTTGTCCACATGGCACTGTTCCCACTCATAGAATTTAAATTTATTAAATTACTTAAATCTTTAAATCTTTTGAGTTAATTTTTTTCTACTTTGGTAGTCAGCTCAGAGGTCTGACTATTTAGAGCAGCAATAAACTGAATAGGAATCTGCATTATATCCATTTTGTGAGTTACACACAAGACTTCTTTTGTGCTTCAGAAAATCTATACTCCTTAAATAAATACTTTATTTCCCTAAGTCAATAAAAAGGGTTTTATTTACTCATTGAATCAAATTATTGGTCTTTAAAAAGGAGTACTCAGACGACCTATCAGAGATCTGATGAGCTTACAAATGCTAAAGAAAGAAAACCACACAGTGAAATACCTAAATAATAATGTTAGATAGTATGTCTTTAAATCTCAAAGACCAAGGTGTCCATAGAAATGCTTTCAAACCGGCCTGTCATTTTGCTTTTGTTGGTAAATGTGTCCACAGATTAAGAAATAAAACATGTGCCTTTAATCCCAGCACTAAAGAGGCAGAGGCAGGTGGATCTCCGTGAGTTCGAGGTCAGCCTGGTCTACAAGAGCCAGTTCCAGAAGAGGCTCTAAAATTACAGCAAAACCCTGTCTCAAAAACAAACAAACAAACAAAAAAAAAGGAATAAAACATGAGAACTTCTCTTACGTGAAGCAGTATTAGGTACATGTAATGACGTTGAGCTGAAAAAGACAAGATGAGAATTACAGACACATTTTATTCCTCCTGGTCTGAAGAATCAAATGTCACATGGATTCATGTGTAAATGTCCTGTAAAGAGAAAACAGACAGTATAAATGTGCTTATAAAAGACAAATTAAAAACATAAAATGAACCAAAAGGTCAAATACTTTATTCTAAGGGAACTTAGGGTTAACAAAATAAACAAAGACTAATTTTGCAATCTAATCTCAGTGCAATGTTTGCTTCTTTCCAAGTTTATATAATCATTAAACTACACAGTGGGTACCATCAAGACAATGGAATTCTGAATATTAATAATTGAAACACAGAAAAACTAGCCAGGATTCTACTACCTGTAAGCCAGCAGTTGTCATGATCCCTTTGGAAGTCTAAGGACTCTTCACAGGGTTAACAGAAGACCACTAGAAAATACAGATGTTCACATTATGAATTTTAACAGTAGCAAAATTGCAAATATTTGTGAACAGTTTCTTTTAATAAATTATCTTGTTGGTGGGCAGTAGTAGTGCATTCCTTAATCCCAGCACTTTGGAGGCAGAGGCAGGTGGATTTCTGTGAGTTTCGGTCAGCCTGGTCTAGAAAGTGAGTTTCAGGACAACCAAGGCTACACAGAGAAACCTTGTCTTAAAAAAACAAAAATAAATAAATAAATGGATGGGTGATATAATGTATAAATAAATAAATAAAATGTATCTTTTCTCCATTTCTATTTTGATAAACATCTCTATATATTTTAAAAATAGATATTAACATTTGGAATGTTTTAATACCGTTTAGGGTTTGTGTGTGTGCATCTGTGTGTGTGTGTGTGTGTGTGTGTGTGTGTGTATACACTCACACATGTACATGCAAGCTGTGTCACAAACGTGAAGAAGAGAAGGCAACTCTGAATGTAAACACTAGTCCTTAGATTCCCTGGCAAGGCCTTTACCTACAGTGTCATCATGCTGACCTGCTATTCATTTTTCCTTGAGCATATATTACCACGTCACTTAAAAACAAACTTCCCATGTATCACATACCATTATCACATTTTGTCCTGTAAATGCATCTTTGCTAACAAATCCCAAATTGAAAAACACTGAAGTAATTTTGTATAGTGATATATTATTTGTATTTTAATAAATAAATCTTGCCTGAAGACCAGAGGTAAAGCTAAGGACACTAGAGGTCAGGCAATGGTGGCACACACCTTTAATCTAGGATTTGGAAGAAAAAATCAGATGGATCTGTAAATTCAAGGTCACCTTGGGTTACTCAAGATCAATGCAGAAACAAATACAGGTAGTGGTGGCTCACACCTTTAGTCCCAGTCCTAGGGAGTCACACAGCTTTAATCCCAGAACTAGAGAGAATATAAAAGGGGAGGAGAGAGGCTTAGTCTCCTTAGTCTGCAGTCACCCAGCCTTGGTAAAGGTAAGACTTCTCTAGTGACTTGGCTGCTTTGCTTTTCTGGTTTTCAGGTTGAACCCCAATTTGTCTCTCGGTTTTTATTATTCATGCTATAGTTTGTCCTCCAGTTTTGACTATCAATAGCAGTCATGTGATTTAAAAATGTATATGTAGGCTTTAGATTTAGCTCAGCAGACTTATCTGTTTAGTAGATAACTATGGCTTCAATGATTTAACGTCTGCTTTTGTCACGTTGCGATAATTTAAGGACAGCAGGAAAGGTCATCCTTTGTACCCACTGCAGTTCTGTGCAAAGACTCAAATGTTTGCTGAATAGATCATTTAGAATTAAGTTTCAATACCAATATGTCCAATAGCCACTAGAGGTCGCCTTGCTCCTCTGTTTGTGTTTCCTGAATAAAATCTGTGAAGTTCCAAAGATATAGTCAAAACAAACACAAAAAAGCTCATGTTTTATGTTTAAGTAATTTATTATACATGAAGTTTCAGTGACTTGAAAGTATGAATATTTACCCAATCACATTTATCTCAAGCAATATTGCCATATAACATTTTTCTCTAAAGGGAATCACTTTTTACTCACATTTGTTAAAAAGTAAAACTTCATTGGCTTAATTAAATTGTCTGAACCTTCAAAATAAATGCATAACTATTAAAATTAAAGCATACACATTCATTTACCTATTCAAGAATATAGTTTACATCTGTTTTGTTTAACCAGAAAAGGGGAAATGGTGTAGGAGGTCCTTCTGTTTATGTGTTGCTTTCATTGGTTAATCAATAAAGAAACTGTTTGGCCTGATAGGGCAGAACTTGGGTAAGCGGAGTAGACAGAAATGAATGCTGGGAAGAAGGGCAGAATGGCAGAACGCGATGGATCTCTTGCCTGGGACGGGCGCTGGTTAGAATCTTGTCAGTAAGCCACAGTTACATGGCGATAGACAGATTAATGAAACTGAGTTAAATTAAGATGTAAGAATTAGCCAATAAAAAGTTATAGCTAATGGGTCAGGCAGTGTTTAAATTAATAGGCAGTTTCTGTGTGATTACTTCAGGTGTAAGCTAGCAAGGCAAGCAGGACAAAAAGCAGGCCCCCTCTCTTTGCAACATCTGTGGGATATTTACCACCATAAACTAAACACTAATAAAGTATTAGACACTATCAAACATTAAATTAACAAAATGCAAACATTTATAATGTTATTGGTGGTAATTTAAGACGATTAAATCCTCAAATAATTTTAACACATAAATGACTAAAAGTGTGCCAGCCAGTGGCAGCGCATACCTTTAATCCCAGCACTCAGGAAGGCAGAGGCAGGCGGATCTCTGTGAGTTTGAGGCCAACCTGGTCTACAGAGTGAGTTCCAGGACAGTCAAGGCTACACAGAGAAACCGTGTCTTGGGGGAGGAAAAAAGATTGTGGTGGGTTTTTTAAAAAAAATCTTTTATATTTTTATTGCTAAGAGACAAATGCCAACGACTATCTTTATTCAGATGTCAGCCTAAAAGGCTTTGATCTGGGTCAGTCTTCCAATGGAGAAAGAAAATTTCCAACAGCTATTAATAAATTATAAGAAGAAGTCAGAAATTCTTAATATCCCAGTGTATGCATTAAAGCAATTCATCCACAATACAAAGTTACTCTTTGGGCCAGGCGATGGGCGAACACCTTTAATTCCAGCACTCTGGAGGCAAAGGCAGGTGGATCTCTGTGAGTGGAGGCGAGCCTGGTCTACAAAAGCTAGTTCCAGGACATGCTCCAAAGCTATAGAGAAACCCTGCTCGATAAAAACAAAAACAAAACAAAAAAAGAATTATCCTATGGGAAGACTGGTCAGTCAGTTGATTTCTTGAGCAACGCAGTTAGATAAACAAGCTTGCACTTACAGGATAAGAACTAGAAATCTAACTACAGATGTGTGTATACCAGCCACAGAAGAACTTAATCGTTCAACCTAAGACTCAGGCAAACATTTCAAATCTATCTTCTATTTGCACTTTAGAATCCAGACCCTAAGTTAAAGCTGCTGCCTCTCAGTCCTACTGACTAAACTGCTTTTCCGGGCTCCCTAAGCATTGCTACTTGTGTTTTAAAACCTGCCAAGTGTCCTCAGTATCCAATATGCCACTAATTAATTACTGGCCATACTAACATCTGCTGCCAACCAGGCTCCATGACAAGAGCATTCACAATTCTAGGCATTTCCATCATCCGCCTGGGCAGACCAATGCAAGGGAAGCTCAAACATTTCCAGCGTCACCTAATAAATAACGTGCATAGGCTTGTCCGTCATCATAAGTGCCGCTCTCCTCAGAAATGCCGAGGGTCACTCTCCAAACTTTCTCATTATAAAGAAGGGGAAAGTCTACATAACAACGTATGTTCGTGTCCTTCCCATGCCATTCAATACTCCATTTCAAAACTTCGTTTTTAATCTCTGACAATCTCAAACTAAGGACTGATAATCCCTTTAGCTAAGAAAAATGAAACACAATATAAAATTGGCCATTTTATACTATTTCCGTATTGAAGATGTTTTTCAGATTCATTAACAAATGGTACAGAACAGTATTGACCCGAAGAATTGGAAGCCAAAGTTTTATTTAAATAACAACAAAATCCTTACTACTAAAACTATAACAGTATTGACCCGAAGAATTGGAAGCCAAAGTTTTATTTAAATAACAACAAAATCCTTACTACTAAAACTATCTTTCAATTATCTTACAATCCAACAAGGTTCCTTACAGTCTTTCATAATTCGGAGTAACTTTCTCCCTAGCTCCCTGTCCCCTATTCCCAATTTAAATCATCTATGCCCACCTCCTAACTCCTCCTCCTATGTAGTGTCTTTTGGTTTGTATTTTAACAAACAAAGTTTATCTGAAGACCAGAACATAAAACAGTCACACTAGTCAGCCATAAAGGCCAGGTAGTGGTGGCACACACCTTTAATCCCAGTAGCCACACTAGTTAGCCATAGAGGCCGGGCAGTGGTGTTACTGGCCTTTAATCCCAGCACCAGAGAGGCATATAAGGCAGGGTGAAACAGGAAATTGCTCTCTTTCAGTCTGAAGCTTTCATAAGGGTAAAAGCTCTCTAATGGCTTGGTTGCTTTGCTTCTCGATCTTCAGGCTGAACCCCAATATCTGTCTCTGGGTTTTTATTATTTGTATTTTTATTATACAATTGGTGCCCAACATGGGGCCCAAACCCACAACCCTGAGATTAAAAGTCTCATGCTCTGTTGATTCATTCTACACCTTCATATCACATGCAACACTATGTAAAAGAAAAGCTTCTAAGAAAACTCAAATAACAATAATAATGATGACAAAAAAAGAACCTCTCAAAGTCTCGTTCAAATGAAATTGTAGTTTATTGATTAAACTGAAATAAAAGCCTACACTTAACTTCTGGCATTCTTTATATGGAAACCAAGAGCAGCACCTAAAGTCATATAACAATGCTCTATTTTTATCTTCCACAAAGCTAAAGCAAGCTCTCCAGGGCTTCACTGTGACAGAGCAGGCAGTTAGCACGGCTGCATATTAATTGTATTGCCTGTTAGGAGTTGTTTAGTAGGGAAATTAATCTAAAACCAGGAAAAAGTGGCAAGCTGTGTGTAACAAAATGAAACAGTCCAATACGAATGGCAGGGAAACATCTCCTTATTACCTCAGTCAACAATCAAAGAATAACACAAAAGATAAATGATCTTCCAAATGTAGGAGTATAGTTCTGTGCTAGCGTTTCATAAAGAAAATCAACTCTTTCTACAGCGTGCTTTTTTTTTTTAATCGTTAAGCTCCACAATCAAACCTTGATTCTTGCCTAAATAAACTCAGAGAAGTTTCAGGGGATTGTGGGAAAGAATGGTTTTGGACAAAAGATGGGTGATGGCTAGTGCCACTGAATGTGTCCTACTAGAATGGGATGACCAGGTCATCAAGGCTGCCCACACTAATGTTTACAAATTTCTAATGGTAGATAGAGCTGAACAGTTTGAAATTTTCCTTTGGTGCAAACTGTACGTTAGTTCCAAGGGTTTACGAAGCACTGAGTTTGTTGTCCAAGTCCAAGCAGTTCACAGATGAGTGCAAAGGCAACTGGAAACTCGAGTGCAATTTCCGCTGAAGCTTTATCTGAACCCGGCAGCTCTCTAGGTCTAATTCTGGGGATCGAGGGACCGCCCTCTCTTAACTGCGAGGAAGTCATGCGGTCGCTAGACCTCCAAGAACAGAAGAGCAAAGAAGCAAGATTCTGACTACTGCCCACGGCACTTACTACCTGGGCGGAGACAGCAAACAGCTGCAAAAAAAATGAAGTATGAAGGGAGTTGCGAGCGTGAGGCCACTGCGCTGGTGCGGCGCGGCCACACTTCAAGTGCAAGGGACTCGGAATTTTACCTGGGACTTATCCGGCTGAGGTCGGGTCTCAGGAACCGGGACTCCTCTGCACGAAGTCAGGACCCGTGCATGAAAGTCCCAGGAAGGCCCCTATCCCTCCCAAAGCACAGCCAAGCGGTACCCATCAGCCACCTACAACACCAGGGAACGCCCCCAAGGAGCCCAGGCCTCCGCTACTGTCGCGATACCTCCAGCGATTCCCCGCCCCCCAGAAACTTCAGCCAATCTGCGATGGGCTATGGGCGTGGCTTTACGTTTGAGTCCGGAGCGGGTCCTTCAATCTTCCGCCTCCTGGGCCTGAAGTGGGTGGGGCTGAGGCGGGGACGGGGCGGAGAGAGGACGGGACACAAACCAGTTCTCGCGAGAGTAGAGACCAGGAAGACGCCTGCAGAGCCGGCTGCTGGTGCAGCGGTGACTGAGGCTGCAGGTGCTGCTGCATCCCGGCGTCCTGCCTCCCAGTCCGGACGGGTCTGTAGGTGAGAAGAAGGGACGCGATCCGCCCGGGCTGTCTAGGTGCTCAGTGACTCCCGGGATCTAACGGAGATTCAGATTGCGGCCTGTCGGACTAGTCAGGGAAGCACCCACACTCCTGACAGTAAGATGGCGGCGATGGCGCCCGGAGGTGGTGGCAGTGGCGGCGGAGTAAATCCATTCCTTAGCGATTCCGATGAGGACGACGACGAGGTAGCGGCGACCGGGGAGCGGCGGGCAGGACTTCGGCTGGGTGCTGCGGTCGGCCTGGATCCTGGCTCTGCGGACTCGCTGTCGCCACAGGACCCTATAGCCCCGGGGAGCAGCGCGCGACCGGGGCTCCCTGTGGATGCGGCCGCCCCTCCGGCGGCCCTGGGGGGCAGCGGGGAGAACCCTGCCCGATTGTCAATTGATGCCATCGCCGCCCAGCTGTTGCGCGATCAGTACTTGCTGACTGCCCTGGAGCTGCACACAGAGCTGTTGGAGAACGGCCGCGAGCTACCACGGCTGCGCGATTACTTCTCCAATCCTGGCAACTTCGAGAGGCAGAGTGGGACCCCACCAGGGATGGGGGCGCCTGGGATCCCTGGAGCATCAGGCATTGGAAGCGCTGGAGGTCGGGAGCCGAGTACGACGTCGGGCGGTGGACAGCTCAGTAAGTAGCCAAAGCCTATCACACCTGCAGGCCTGGTGTTAGAAGAGTCACTGTGCTCTTGAGGGGTTTTTGTGTGCGGCCTCCAAGTCTAGGGTCGTTTTGAGAAGCGAGACAATATTGAGCGAGGTGGGAGGTGCCCTACGTAGTGGAAGCAAAGGGATCCCTCTGTAGCTGTTCTTTGTATTGGCTCTGATATTTGGCAGGTGTTGCACTGCTCCCTCCCCGCCCCCACCCTGCCCCAGTTGGTATTGGGACCCCCTAACATCGTGTTTCCTGTTTATTGGCAATTATGGCACTCTAGAAAACTTCCTTATTACTTGGGCAATTTGCTCTAGGCGTTTTTCCTTTTTCCCACAGTCTCTTGAATCATTGTACCAGGAAATAATGTTTCTTAGTAATTCTTTGATTCATTGAAGAACTGAAAAAGAACCGCATAGGAAATGGCAGCGCACTGTACTGCTGTTGGGGCCACTGAAGACCTTTTGTCTTTGGAAGACTTGATTCAAAAATTGTTTTTTCCATTATTTTGTATATTAATTTATGCTAATAAAAAGAAGAAAATGGGATTCTCTGCTTCATTGGATGTGTACTATTTAAATAATATCAACATAACAATTTCACTACCCTAAATTTAGTAGGGTTCAATTTACAGGAAGACTATGGAACAAACCAAGGATCTTCTGCCATCTTTTTTTCACCATACCACCACTGTGTAGGCTTTTTTCTCTGAATAAGCTAATCTATTTTTTTCTTCCTACATCATTTTTTAGCAGCAGAGTAATCACTGATATATCCATTATTTATATATAATTTTTATATGAGGATTCTCAGTTTCCTTTTTGAGAAACATCAAATTTTTCCCACACTGATGCTCATACTTTGATGTGTTCTGTGAGGCCAACTGGAATTTACTAACAAATCAGCCTAATTGATTTCTCTAAGTGTCTGTACTTTTGAATGATTCCAGAGATGTAAATTGCTAACGTTTGATGTGGTAGAACTGGAAAGGGTGCATTTTCTATCAAGGGAAATCCTAGGCATATTTCCTTCTTTTATACCTGTCTATATTATCTAATGAGTATCACCTGAGAAACTCCCTCATCAGGCCCTAGGCCAAATGTCCCTTTTATAGTACTTTATGTGCATCCCAGACTTAGTTAGTTTTAACCTACATCATAGCCTTTGGCTCTTTTGTATTTGGTTTAATGGCAGTAATGATTTGATATAGTCAGTTCACCTGTTAGCTTGGAGCTCCTGCCTCTCTTTTCCCAGGACTGAAATTTAAACCCAGGGCCTTGCATCTTATGAACAAACTGTTCTATCTCCCCAGTTTTGTGTGTACATGCGTGCATGTGTGTCTGAACGAGAGGATGACTACTGATCAGAAGATGAGGACTTTTCATATTTTATCTTTTAAGTGACAGTTCTAGGATTTGAACTCAGAAATCTATCTTAACATTCTTTCTACCACAGCTACTGTATTCTGATACAACTCAAGAAAAGTTAGTTTGTTTCAGTATATGATCAAGCAAAGTATCTAATAATTCAGAGTATGCCTTCACTCAAAATGGCCAGTCAACAGAGAAGGCAAGCAGGTGATTCAAAATTGATAATTTAAAGGATGAATTGAGAAACCATAGCCCCATATTGAGGTGAAGATGCATGATCTGACAGGAGTATCAGTCCATTTCATCAAGGTAGCCGCACTGCATAGCTTTAATCTCAAAGTCAGGACAGTCAGACTGCACATGTGGTTGTAAGCTCTCCAGGGTAGTCGGTTTAGCCTCCACAGAGAAGCACATTTTTAGTAGAATATTTTTTATTCTTTTATTCTATCAGAATTTCATAAATATATTTTGATCATATCCATGTTCCATTCCTCCCCCTAACTCCTCACTCATCCAACTTCAAGTTACCTTTCCTTCTTTTTATATAACCAACCAAGTCTTTTATGCTGTCAAATACTCATGGGTGTGAGTCCCTTCACTAGAGCATGGTTGCCCTACCACAGGGCCATATCCTTAATGAACTGACTCTTCCCCCAGAAACCATTGGTTGTCTCTGACTCCTCAGGTAGTGGTGTGGACTTATGAGCCCCTCCCTACTCCTTGTTGGAATGTGGATTGGCTTGATCTTGTGCAGGTCTTATTCAGGGCAACCACAACTGCTATGAGTTCCTTGGGCTGAGTCCTGATGAGGGAGTTTATCGGATAACATCATTAGCTATCATTAGTCCTATCATGTCCAAAAGACAATTTTTTTCCTAGTTCTCCCCAGCCTCTGGCTCTTAGGATCTTTCTGCCCCCCTATTTTGCAATAGTCCCTTAAAGCTTTGGGAGATATTTGCATTTGTGGATGAGCACTCTACTGGCATTATCTAATCAGTTGTGTGTTTCTACTTAACTACCAGCCAGATTCAAGTACATTTATCAACTATTCTGAATCAAGTTATCACATGATGCTAATTCAGGTTGTATGATTGGTTTCAGCCAAGAAGCTTAGCTGTATGATTGCATGTGATTTTTCTGGTGACAGAGCATGGCTCAGCCTCAAGAGAATAAAACGAAGTTGTAAGCATGGGTGTAATCTTCCAGATTGTCTCACCCATTGCAAAAGTACAAGTCAGTTTGTTTTTAAAACCTGTTAGTCCTGTTGTGGAGGTATAAGATTGTTCAAAGTAGTGTCATCACATTTTTATGTTATTTTGCCATCTCTCATCTCTGAATTTGTGTGCTGCCTTAGTTCATACTTTCAGCTTGATTCTGAACCACCAACTTTACCCTTATTTTGTGGCTTGATGTCATCCTCTCTTTTTATTCTATCTTTGTTCCACTTTACTATTATTAGTTACTGCTGTTAACACAGATTTACATTTTCTTCTACTGGGATACCAATGTGAAGTGAATAATCCTTTGCACCATGTAGAAAAGATTATCACAGGTAAGGTCAAAAAGTATGAACTGAATCCAGTGTTGGTGCACATGCCTTAATCCCAGCACTCAGGAGGCAGAAGAAGACAAATCTCCAAGTTCAAGGCCTGTCTAGTCTACAAAGTGAGTTCAAGGACAGCCATTATTACACAGAGAAACCCTGTCTCAAACAAAACTAAACAAAAAAGTATGAAATGAAATAGGATATAGTAGAAAGGCAAAGAATATAAACATCATAGTTGTTAAAGGAGCATGTCACAAATAAAACGGCACATATGGAACTTACAAGAAGAAATGGAGGAGTGCAGAGGCTATGAAAGCCTCAGTGCAAGGTAATTAAAATTCAGCTTTTCCTTTGCTTATTTTTATTTAGTGTGTATTTGTGTGTACCCACAAGCAGAGGCCAGAGAACAACTATGCAGAGTTAGTTTTCTTTATAGCTGGACGACTAATAATGAGGCAACCTAACATCAAATGTATATATAAATAAAGCTACTTTTACATGTGATTTATAGAGTCACTCTGCGTATCTTTTATTCAACGTGTATATAATAGATTTAGTTCTCAGCCTTGATAAAGTTAAGAACAGGTTTGCTCTTTTTACAACTATGTTGCCTCATTATTAGTTGCCCAGCTCTAAAGTGAATTATTAAGAAGTTACACAGAAGACATGATGGTTTATGAAGAAACACTTTGTGGCTACAGCATTGTGTATTAGCATGTACTTACTCTGTGGTATTTTGTTTTGTTTTTGGATAGATTCTTTAATCATGTTTTGAGAATAAGTCCCAGGTTCAAATGATTACCCTACCTCAGTTTCCCAAGTAGGTAGAATGGCAAGTGTATGTCGTGTATCACATCTGGTTACATTCTTTTTTAGCAAAAGAGGTTAATTTTTCCAAGTATGGTCAAGTATTAGACCATGTGGAATATAACAGATGTTTGCTTGTCCTAAGAAAGAACCATGTCTGACTAATACCCCTGATCATGTTTCTGTGTTGCACAGTCCAGAGGCCATGTTAGTAACAGGACTCCTACAGAATTGCTTAAAATTTGCTCTTAAAATTTTGTGGCTAAATCCAAAAAGCCATACTTATCTTGGACCTA